TGTAACATTCTTTTGCAGTAACCTGGTCTCCCCAGAGGTCAATGACCTCCCTGCCATCTGGGGATAAACACCTCATTACTTGATGAAGGGTAGAGGGGACTCCGTTCATACGATGGATCCAACCTCTCCCCATAATGAGGTTATAAGATGGATGAATCTCCGTCACGACAAAATTCTCCTTCAGAGTCCTCTTTGCTGTAGTAACGGATAGATCGATCACCCCAAGCGGATTCACCTTAGTACCATCAAACCCCATTAGGGGGCTGGAAGTTGGCCTGATGGACGATGGTGAAACCCCCAGCTGATCGAAAGTTGCTTTTGTAATGATGTTGGCGCTACTTCCCGGATCTATCAGCACCCTCCTGATCATATAATTCGCTACTAGGAAGCTAATGACCAAGGGGTCCTCATGCGGGCGCTGGACTCTAGACAGATCATTGTTACCGATTTCAATGTTGATGCTGCCTGGTGCAACCGTGTTTACCGAAGACAATCTTCGTAACTTATGAGCCTCTCTCAGCCTGGATCTATACAGCTCTTCAGACTCTTCATCATTCTCTGACCTTCCGTGTATGGCATGGATAACCTTTACCTGACCGCCCTCTACCCGTCGAGGGTTAACCTCCCGAGGTTTTACGTACTCCTTTGTGGCGAGATACTCCACCAACTCTCCTCTCGCTATCATGCTTTCTACCTGTCGCTGAAGGGACCTGCAGTCATTGGTGGTATGCCCATAGTCTCTATGGTAGGCACAATGTTTGCTTTTGTCCCTCTGCTCCAAGGGTTGTTTCATGGGCTGAGGAGTTGCGAACCTCGTCTTATTATCTTGGAATAGGCGCGCTAAGGTAGTACGGAGAGGGGTAAGCCTGTCCTCTGTCCTTTGCCTCTTCTCAGGCGCTTGGGTGACTTGTGGGGCGGCATGAGGAACCTTCTGCATCCTTGTGCTTGCAGCTTTCTCTCGAGACTTGTTTTCCACTGTGACGAGGGTAGCGTGCTGTGCACGGTGGGCTACGTTTTCCTCCAACCGAATGTAGATTTGTGCCCTAGCGTTCAAAGTCTGCATATCCGGAGGGGAATATTTGATCAAGGATGTGTGAAACTTGGTTCCCTGGATCATTGCCAACTTAAATGTTTCGATTGCCGTGGCAGGGTGGCAATCTGCTATCTCCGAGGATTCCATGTTAAACCTGGATAAGAAATCTTGCAGAGTTTCTCCCTTCCTCTGCCTTATGGTGAAAAGGCTGGCGATACTTTTCTTCTGCTTCTTATTTCCGCAATACTGGGCTAAGAACATAGTGCACAAGGTCTTATAATCAGGGATAGACTTATGTGGCCTATTCCTGAACCATTCTAACGCTGCTCCGGTTAAACTGGTAGGAAAAACCTTACACATCCACGGATCGTTATGATCGTCCAGTGCCATCTTTTGCGCATAATGATCGAGATGCCGAGAGGGGTCTCCTGCCCCATCGAACTGGGTGAATGATGGCATGGTGAACTTCCTTGGTCTCTCCATAAGGTATACATCGTCAGTAAAGGGGGTCTTGACCAAGGAGTTCTTGTGCTCTCTAGCCATCTCGGCTGGTGTCTGAACTCTTAATAGCTTCTTTTCGTCGAAGGCATCTTGTACGCGTGCGCCATCTGGAACGCCATTGGACCATACCGTAAGCCTATGGCTAGACTCGGCCTGTTCGTCCTGTGTGCGACGCGGGAGATTATCCGAAGCAACCGCCTCGGACCTTGTCCCTTGCTGTTGCTGAACCTCATTAGGTCGAGCCCCGTTGGGTGGTGTCCCGTTGGCCGGAGGCTCATGAACTGGAGGTAAATTCTGGGTGGGGGGTGGTGCTGCAGTATCGCCTGGTGGTGGTTGTGGCGTTAGCCTGGCCATTGCCGTGTGCAGCGTATGAGTTTGCTGCTGAAGCGCAGCTATCTGGGCGACACTCGTATCGTTTGCTTGCCAGAGTGTCTCAAATTGGTGCAAGAACTCCTCTCGCATCTTTTGCATCAATTCTATCTGTTGATTCATTGCTGACTCTACGTTTGACATTCCAGATACGACTAAGGATTTGATTTGAAGAACAAGTGGGAGTATATTTTTATACGATTCCCACAGACGGCGCCAAAGTGTAAGTGCAAAATTTCGCCCAACCAATAATGATTAAGAGAAATAAAACAACTCACTCAACAAACAATAAAAATAAACAAGAATAGTATATAGAGAAGCGTAGAATTGCTTGATCCCTTTATTGAAGGTCTAAGTCTCTATTTATATACAAAAGATTGTAAAATTATGATAGGACTCGCGTTGCTTGTCCTCCAATTCTTTCTATATAAACATTCTTTACTAATAGAGTTCTTTCCATTGTCTAATTTTTCATACATAGAACTTGCCTTGTACAGAACTTCCTATCTCAGAATTTTCCTTCTATGGTAAATCCTTCAACTGGTAGGATTTGTGCATTCTTGAATAACTGGGCTGAACATACTTTGATCTGGCTGGGCTTGAATAACGGACCGGATGTTAAATATTAACAAGTTGGGCTGATGACCTCTTGATTCGGCCTTGATGGAGGTTGGAAGACAAATAACAATGGTCTTGGGTTAAAAATACACTCAATTTGGGCTTGAGCATGACGGTCCTTTGGAAGATAGATTTATATTTGTGATGACGTGGAATATTCTTATTGGAGGGAGTTTTTTTCCCTCCACAGACATAATTTGATGCACAAGATCACTCAAAAGAGATTTTGGTCACTCAACTGTTGGTGTCGTGGTCTTCCTCTCTCATTTGAATCAAAATGATAGAGTACACAAATTGAAAAGGCTAAAAAATGTCCGACCATCGTACTAATTAAACATCTCCTGTTATCATGCTCTTTGTATACCATCATAATACATAGTATGGGTATTATTTTTTTAATATTGGTATACAAATTTGGACTCATATCATGTTTGAAATTGCTATCAGTTTGAAATAGTTCATAACATATCAAATATTTTTATTTAAACTCGTATCACCAAATTGTTGATATTATGTGTTTTGATATTATAGTGAGGAACTAAAGTAAATTTTTGAACTTTTTCAAAACAAATTTTCGTTACTAAATATGGTTCTAATTTCTATTTAAAATACTCTTAAAACAAAATAATTATTTTGATATTAACAAAAAGCATAATGCTTAAAACACATAGCTCGTAAAACGATTCTTATATATCATATTTTTTAAAGGATGTAAACTCAAATTTGTGTTTGTTATGAAAAGCAGAAGCTACTCACTCAAATAGTGGGCCGATGGAACAAGGGCCCGTTGGATAAAATGAGATCACCGCAAACATCGAAGGGCACATATTCTTTCAGCGTCTTGTTCTGTGAGTAGCCTCACCTACTCAATCATTTCCTATTTTTCCAATAAAATAAAAAAAAAAGACAATTATTCCTAAAATTGAGTGTGAATATCTATATTTATACTATTTATAAAATGTATAATTTTTTTTGTATTCATTTTTTACTCAATTTTTATTTATATATATTTTTTTGGTATACATTTTTCACATTGAGATTACACCAATGGATCGAATTGGATGGTAATAATTTAGATATTAAACGTATTTCAATATGAACTCAATGGATCAATAAAAATTAAAATTAATTCAATGCATAAGATAATTTAAATCAATCTATATATTGGATCACATCTACAAATTGGACTTTTCTAAATGACCCAATTATTTTTTTAACCATGGCTTAATGACCTATCAATTTATCAACACTTTATTTATTTAAAAATAATAACTAAAACGAATCTTTTTAACCAATTTAAATTATATGAATGACTAAGCAAGACATCCTTAATTAATCAGTTCCTACTTAAAAATAATTATTAACTAACAACCACAATAACCAACACAACTACCACAATGTATAAGTATATAAGAAATTCAAAACCTATTATTAAGCACATTTAATTAAATTAGATAAAGTATTACTTCAAATTAAATTAGATAATGTCCTGTGGACAATAATTTACTGGCAGCATTTTTATTCACCATTCCAAGAGATATTTGCGTCCGGCTTTTATGGGACCCTCCACAATGAAGAAGACACAAATGTGATTCATGAATCTGTATAGTATAAAACATGTGCGTATATATATACTCTGAGAACCGCAGTGACTCAGCAGGAAGATAGACGCTGCCTCCGTTCTGCTCTGCCAAAAGTCTAATTGCAACACCTCCTTTCAACTTCTTTCAGGTTCTCTCTCTTTCTGGTTTTATTCTTGCTGGGTCAGTTTAAATTTTATGTTAGAAGTATGAAATCATTTCATTTCTCATGGCGTTTTGGGTTTGTGAGCACCAATTTGATCCTCGGAATTGGAATTGGAATTGGAATTGGAAAAGGGTTTGAACGATTTTCTTTCAATTTCAATTGCAATGTTTCGATTTGATGCTCCAAACATAGCCAAAGAGTATTTCTTTAGACCCATGTTCTAATTTTTGTTCTTCTTTTGCCCCCAAATTTTGTCCCATTCTGATGATGGCTGATATTAGTTTGATAAAATTGTGAAATTTAATCCAGACAAGTTTGGACAATTTTTGAGGGATAGAAACTAGATCTTTTGTACTTACATTAATGCATAATAAAATAAAATTGTGAAATTTATTCCAGACAAGTTTGGGCAATTTTTTAGGGATAGAAACCAAATCTTTTTTGACATTAATGCATAACTGACAAAATGGAAATTTAGGACTCCCATGTAATTGAAATCTATTAAGAAATTAGAGCCAATTTTATTTTTCAGTAGCCTTTAAAATGATTCTGGTTTATTTTATGGAGAAACATAGTTTTTACGGGCCTGAGTGTGAGCTTTTTTTTTTCATTACCAAGAAACTCACGCAGCCATTTGTCCCTACGAGGACTCGAACCTTCACCATCCCTTTTGAGAGGTAGAGAAGATACCACTATGCTTACAGCCTTTGGTGGTGAGTGCTTGTTTTTTTTCCATTACTTATTATTCATGAAATCATATAAATGAGGGTTTTTTCCCCCTTAATTTAGACAATGATTCAATTTTATTTGTCATTATTAATAATTCTTCAATGGGATATTGACATTTGTTAATGTTTTGTTTTACTTTCTAAAATTTTTGTTATCTTGGGATTTGGGAATGAAATGGATCGTGGTGTGAAACTCATACATTAAACAAATGAGAATTTCTATTTCATGTCCTTCTCTCTCTCTTTCTATATATGTATTTTGTGGTACTAATATTCGTAGACTATTGTTTAGCTCTTAAAGTTCCTTTTATTGGTAAAAATCTCATTTCATTTTAATACTCTTGTTTAAGGCCAATCCTGGATGTAGTTGGTGTTTTTTATTTTGGCAAAAATATGATATTGATATCACAGATATGACAAGTGTTCCATCAGGTCAATCTTATACCTCATTACTTAGTTCCAAAGCTTTAGCTTCAAGGTACCTGTTAATTTCTCCAGTCATTGCATTTCTTTTATGGGGCATTTGAATTTTTTTCAGGGATGTTTAAGAAAATTATAGTGGTCTTGTTGATCGGGTTTATAGCATGGGCATTTCAAACTATCCGCCCTCCACCTCCAAACATCTGTGGTTCCGCAGGTGGTCCACCCATCACAGCACCAAGAATAAAGCTTAGGGATGGAAGGTATTTGGCCTATAAGGAGCATGGTGTTCCCAAAGAAACGGCCAAATATAAAATTATCTATTCACATGGCTTTGGCTCTAGCAGACATGAGTTAGCCATTACGACATGGGTAGTTCTATGACTAGTTGTTGAAGTGACGAGTTCCTTATCCCTTCAAAAGATTTTATGCAAGGTTTCTTCCGAATGACTTACTTTTGTAGCGTTTTTCTCTTACTTTTTTTCAGGAAATAGTTGAGGAATTACAGGTGTACTTTGTAACTTTCGACAGACCAGGTTATGGAGAAAGTGATCCAGATCCAAAACGCACCACAAAGAGTATAGCTTTGGACATAGAAGAGCTAGCTGATCAGTTAGCACTTGGATCCAAATTTTATTTACTTGGGTTGTCAATGGGAGGACAGGTGCTTTGGGGCTGCCTCAAGTACATCCCTCACCGGTAAGATTAAGATGTACCCAGCTTAGTCTGTACTCAACCGCAGTGAGATTTAAGACATTATGTATTTGAAGTCATTTAAATTCAAGATTTATTGGAAAATTATGATGATGTGGATGGAAAAGTTTCAAGAACAAATTTGAGTGGAAAGCAAAAAATATGCATGTTAGAAATCAATGTAAAATATTGTTCATTTTTTTTTCCTAAATAAATATTGTTCATCATATTAAGTTGCAAAAATTTTAACAGATTTTTCCAGTTACATATAATATATTTTTCATCAATATATATGCACCTGTCTCAAGTTATATTTTTCAAGCCAAATATTTGGGATGCTGACAGTCTAGCAGGAGCAACACTACTCTGTCCAGTTATCAACTACTGGTGGCCAAGCTTTCCTGCAAATTTATCTGAAGAAGCTTACTACCAACAATTCCCACAAGATCAATGGGCACTTCGTGTTGCTCATTATGCCCCATGGCTCAACTACTGGTGGAACACTCAGAAATGGTTTCCCGCGTCTAGTGTTATAGCTGGAAAGCCTAAATTCAGCCAGCAAGATATAAGTCTCATTTCCAAGCTTACCAGGGGTGAAAAACGCAAGGTACTATTCTTTCTGCTGTTGTATTATGAAGAATGGGCAGCAATCTACAATATGCATTGGTGCTTACTTATGTGCGTATGATTTGATTGATACTTTGGAATCATTGGTATAGGGCCGCTGCTTGGTGCAGTGGTAAAAGGTCGGGTTGTTAAGTATGAAAAGCTGATTCCAGTCTGATAGCAGACACTTTGTGCAAATAATCTGGGCCTATAGTCCACTCCTCCCGGCACCCTTGATTAATGGGACACACACTAGGTAGTGGTCTTTGATAACTTGGCATTATGGTTTTCAACACTATAAATTCATACACACTGCAACTTTTAGATCCATTAGATCAATTTGTGATGCGGTTGAGTGTTCTTCGAGTTTGAACATATCATGGTTTAAGAAGATAGTGGTGTTTGATAACTTGACATTATACTTTTCAACGCTGTAAATTTGTACTTACTCCAACTTTTAGATCCATTAGAGCAGTTTGTGATGCTGTTGAGTTTCTTTCATTTGGAGTTTTAACATATCATGGTTTAAGAAGTTTAAGTGCTCTTTTGTTTGGAGTACAAAGCATATGAATTTCTCATGGTTGATTCTAATTTGTTACTTATGACAACCAGGAAAATGTAACACAACAAGGAGATTTCGAGTCTAGGCATCGTGACATGATGATTGGATTTGGAAAATGGGAATTTGATCCTATGGAACTCGAGAACCCTTTTCTTGGAAATGAAGGCTCTGTTCATATATGGCAGGGTGATGAAGATGGTCTTGTGCCTGTTATACTGCAGCGTTATATTGCCGGAAAGCTTCCATGGATTCACTACCATGAATTACCAGGCGCGGGACATGTGTTTCCTTTTGCAGATGGAATGACTGAGACCATCTTAAAGACACTCTTACTCAGTGAGAAGTAGCCTACTGCAGAAATAATTCTCTATTCAATTCGATTATTATTTGCCGGGGAAGAGAAGTTTCTATTCAATTATTGAGTAAACTTGGTGCCTGAGATGAAAGTTTTATTGATTGATGTTTTATAATACAATAGGATGGTAACATTAGCATTACTCAAATTTTGTTGTCTTGGGTTAAATTTGGAGCAGTATGTGTTCTGCAGTGCTTTCATTGCGTATTGTTGTGGCTTTATTCAACTCGATTACTTGAGTTTGGACCTGCTTGTTTACAAATGGCGAAGATGAAAAAAGAAAAGTTATAAAAGCCCCTTTAAAAAGAGCTAAGCAATGATATGTGACCATATATATATATATATGCATAAAGGGGTGTGACAGTTGAAAGGAGAAAAATATCAACAAAATTGAGCCTACCCTGCAAATATTTGAAGAATATATGAGATAAATATTTGAAGAATATATGAGATGCATATTTTTTTAGAAAATGTTGTATTGTTAATATGCATTAACGTTTTTATAAGGAATTTGAATCATCTCGTCAGGCATGTGTCATTACATTATTTATGTAATAATTTTTTTTATATATTTGTTACAGTATAATATAGTGTATTATTGTAGTCGCAATATTCTAGAACAATGGACCAAGGCGTAGGATTCTATTGCCATTTTCTACCTGTTTTTGACTTTTTTATTTTTATTTTTTATTTGCATCATACAAATTCAGGATAATTAACTCTTGTTTTTCTCACTTATGTCATTTCGCATTTCACTTCTTTGTTATGACGTACCAAGCATGCCAAACAAAAAACATGTACATTTTTTCATATTCAAACTTGAAAATGACACAAGTATCTACCACCATTTTCTTGTGACAACCATTGTTCAACACCTAGTGTGGTAGTCTCTCTCTTTCACGCAAATTAAATGCATGGGCACACAAATCCAAAGTGGGCAAAAAAGTCCTACCATTTGTCAATTAAACCCCTCCTCTTATCATGATTGTATATATAAAATAAATACTTATCAGGGTGAGAATTTTGCAGTTTTCTGGAGAAAATTTTAGTCATATTCGAAATTAATGTATCATTGGCAACCGTAACTACAAGGGAAATGATACTGTTTTAGAGAAAAAGATTTTAGTCCAACCTCTCTTCTTGTTAGAAGATTGAAAAATTAAATTATTAATGGTTCGCAGTCGCGATGTAACAGATTCGAACAAAATTAATATAAACAGATTGATACTAACTATGTATCTGATTTGAAAAAGAGTTGCGTATCGACCAATTTGACAACCATGGTTGTATGTTACTACCTCCGTTCCGAATTAGATATCGCCTTTGGTATTTGTGACTCACACAATATCAAAGGCGTCTACTGACATCATTATGAGTCACAAATACTAAAAGCGACATCTAATTCGGCCACCTGCAGTGACGCTCCCATGCAGTTTCCTGTTGTAACTTTTAAGTGGTCCATATTTGGCCACATCATTCTTCAGTTAACGGACACTAAGGCCGTGTTTGGCCAATTACACCACTATTTATAAGTAACGTTTCACCGTCATTTATAAATAACATCACATAGTCTAAAAAGTAATGTCACATATAAACATAACTCAATTCAATATATCATTTATGTTATTATTTGAAATTAAAAGTGGTAATGTCTCCTTTTATAAATAGTGATGTTACTTTTTAGATTTTGTGATGTTACTTTTAAATGGTGGTGAAATGTAAAAATAGTCTAAAAAATAACATCACCACCTTCAAAACGTGGTGATGTTACTTTTTAGACTATGTGATATTACTTTTAGATTTTTACGACGTTATTTAAAAACAGTGGTAAAATGTTACTTATAAATAGTGGTGCAATTATTAAATACAGTATTAGTGTCTATTAAGTAGAATAAAACGTGACCAAATCAAGGCCACTTACAGCTTCCTGTAGAAAGTAACATGAAAATTGCACTGCAGTGCCCCCGTATGTCGCTCGGTCTCGTGTGTGCGCGCAATTACCGGCAGCATATATGCTCTTTGGTCACGTGTGTTTGCAATTACTAAGAGCATTTAATTCAGAATTCCAAGAGATATTGCGTCCGGCTTTAATGGGACCCTCCAAGCCAAGCCAATGAAAGTATACAACAAAAGCGATTCATAGTGTGTGAGTGTGTAAAAGCTGTAAGTCAGCAGGAAGATAGAAGTTGCTACCCTTCAGCTCTGCCTAAAAATCCAACTACAACAACTTCTTTCAGGTTCTCTCTCTCTCCTCTCTCTCACTCTGCTTTTATTCTTGTTGGGTCACTTCAAATTTTATGTTGCAAGTGTGAAATCATTTCATTTCCTACTACGTGTTGGGTTTGTGGAATTGGAATTGGAATTGGAAATGGGTTTGAACAATTTTCTTTCAGTTCCAATTCCAATGTTCCGATTTGATAGTCTTTCTTAGAACCATATTCTAATTTTTGTTTTGATAGATAATGTTAATTTTAGCATAAAATTGCGAAATTATTTAGAAAAAAAACAAAATATAATTGTGAAACTGAAAAAAAAAAATATAGAAAAGAGGAAATTTTAGGACTCCCAATGTAATTGAAATCATTCATCAAATTAGAGCCAATTTTATCTTTCAGTAGCCCTCTGAAATGAAACCTTTTTGTTTTATGGAGGGGCATACTTTTTAGAGCAAGTCTATTATGAGAGAGTTCTGAGTGATGGTTTTTTTTTTTTTTTTTTTAATAATTCCTCAAAAGCTTCAGTAAAGTAATAAAATTATTTCAGTGGGATATTGACATCTGCTAATGTTTTGTTTAACTTTCTAAATTTCTTGTTATTTTGGGAATGAATTGGATTCTGGCGTGAAACTCATACATCTAAACAAATGAGAATTTCTATTTCATCTACATAAATATATGTGTGTGTGTGTGTGTGTATTTGTGGTACAAATATTCACAGACCATTTTATGGTAAAAATCTCTTTTCATTTTGATACAATTGTTAAGGCCAACCCTGAATGCAGTTGATGTTTTTTACTTCGGCAGAAAATATGATATTGATATCACAGACATGATAATCTTATACCTAATTACTTAGTTCAAAAGCTTTATCTTCAAAGTACCTGGTAATATCTCCAGTCATTGCATTGCTTTTTATGGCACATTTCAATTTTTTTTCAAGGATGTTTAAGACAATTACAGCGGTCTTGTTGATCGGTTTTATAGCATGTGCATATCAAACAACCCGCCCTCCACCTCCAAACATCTGTGGTTCCACCGGTGGTCCACCGGTGACCGCACCAAGAATAAAGCTTAGGGATGGAAGGTATTTGGCCTATAAGGAGCACGGTGTCCCCAAAGAAACAGCCAAATATATAATTATATATTTACATGGCTTTGGCTCTAGCAGACATGAGATAGCCGTTACAACATGGGCAAGTTCTATGACTAGTTGTGGAAATGACAGAATTTCGATCTTATTTCCTTCAAAAGATTTTATGCATGGTTTGTTCCAAATGACTTACTTTCGCGGCGTTTATCTTTTTCCTTTTTCAGGAAATAGTTGAGGAATTACGGGTGCACTTTGTAACTTTCGACAGACCAGGTTATGGAGAAAGTGATCCAGATCCAAAACGAACAATGAAGAGTACAGCTCTGGATATAGAAGAGCTAGCTGATAAGTTGGCACTTGGATCCAAATTTTACATAATTGGGAATTCAATGGGAGGACAGGTTGTTTGGGGTTGCCTTAAGTACATCCCTCACCGGTAAGATTAAGACTATCCCGCTTTACTGGAAAATATCTTAATCAATATAGCTTTGAAGTCATAAGACTGTTTTTACGTGTATCTTTGAAAGAAAATAAGAGTTTTGAGTTAAACTTAATCGAGTTCTCTTTGAAGATGTCAAAATTTGAGTGAAGAGCAAAAGACGTGCATGTTAGAAATTGATGTAAATGTTGTTCATTAGATTAAGTTGCGAATTTTTTTTAACAGATTTTGATTTTTTTTCAAGTTACGTACAAATGTATATTTTTCATCAATATATGCATCGGTCTCAAGCCAGATATTTGGGATGCTGACAGTCTAGCAGGAGCAGCACTACTCTGTCCAGTTATCAACTACTGGTGGCCGACCTTTCCTGCGAATTTGTCTGAAGAAGCTTACCGCCAACAATTCCCACAAGATCAATGGGCACTCCGTGTTGCTCACTATGCCCCATGGCTCACGTACTGGTGGAACACTCAGACATTGTTTCCCGCATCAAGTGTTATGGCGGGAAAGCCTAAATTCAGCCAGAAGGATATAGATTTCATGTCCAAGGTTGCCGGGAGGCAAAAGCGCAAGGTACCATTCTTTCTGCTGTTGTATTATGAAGAATTGGCAGCAATAGACAATATGCATTCGTGCTTATGCGCATGTGGTTGGTTTTGGATGCCATTAAAGGCTGGGTTATCAGACTGAAAAGCCGATTCCAGTCTGATAACAGCCGCTTTGTGCAAATAATCTTGGGGATACTATAGTCCACTCCTCCCAGCACCCTTGATTAATGGAACGATGCCAGGTAGTTGTGTTTGATAACTTCGCAATAAATTCATACATACTGCATCTTTTAGATCCATTAGAGCAATTCGTGATGCAGTTGAGTGTCCTTCGAGTTTAAACATATCATGGTTTAAGAAGATAGTACTCTTTGATAACTTGAAATTATATTTTTCTAACACACTATATTCATACACACTGCAACTTTTAGATCCATTCTAGCAATTTGTGATGCAATTGAGTTTCCTTCGTTCCGAGTTTTGACATATCATGGTTTAAGAAGATTTCTGTTGCTGTGCTCTCTCATTGTTGATTCTAATTTGTAACTTGCGACAACCAGGCAAATGTGACACAACAAGGAGATTTCGAGTCTAGGCATCGTGACATGATGATTGGATTCGGGAGATGGGAATTCGATCCTATGGATCTCAAGAACCCTTTTCCTGGAAATGAAGGCTCTGTCCATGTATGGCAGGGTGATGAAGACGGTCTCGTGCCTGTTACCCTGCAGCGTTATATTGCTGGAAAGCTTCCATGGATTCACTACCACGAATTACCAGGCGCAGGACATTTGTTTCCCGGTGCAGATGGAATGACTGAAGCTATCTTAAAGACACTCTTACTCAGTGAGAAGTAGCCTACTGCAGAAATAGTTAGCGAAACAGCTGTGTGTAATTTCCCACAGTTAACTATTTAGTAAAATCTCGGTGCCATAGAAGAAGTTTTACTGTTGCCGTTATAATGCATTAGGATGCTAAACATTAGCAGAACTAAAATCTTTTGAAGAATATATGAGATGAATGTTTTTTTTTTTTTCTCAGACATCGGGAAAATGTTGTATTCAGCCTCATCAAGAGCAATTTCAGCAAATATCAACATTAAAATATACAGTCTGTACTTGTTTAGGACGCCCAGTTTCAACTTTAAAAAGAGCTCGACTTTCATCAGCTAGCAGAACTGGACCTCTCCCAGGTCTTGTTCAAGATAAAATAACTAAACATCTACCTTAAATTTGTGGGCTGGAGTATTTGTGTGTTTCTTGCCAATGACGAAGGGCTAAGTGTGTGCGTGTGTTTTTGCCAATGACAAAGGGCAAAGTGAGTGTGTGTGTGTTTTTGCTAATGACAAAGGGGTAAAAGGTTTGTGCGTAGTGTGTTTCTTGTCACAAAATTCAAGTCACCGCCACTATTATAGACAGCACATAGAAACAATCGCTACGAAAATTCCTTTGTCCGAGCACATACTTCTCCCAAATCCCGAGAAAAATGTACCGAAGCTCAACAGGACAATGGTGAATCTGGAGAAGTTTGATATCTGCCATTGCTGAGCCATAAGAATACCTACCATAGCGATGAGAGTGATAGTACGAGCCCTCCTACCCCTCACAAGGTTGCACAGCATATCCCGAAGGTTTGTCATGTTGGTTGTTGTGGCGGTGGAGTGAAAATTCTAGGGCTTAGGTTTTGATTTTAGGGTTCGGACCTGTCTGGGTTTATGTAGAAATGGCCAAATGTATTTTTACGGTTTCGGCTTGCCAGCATGGCAATTGGGCATGAGTAATATTTGACATTTATGACCAAGGTTTTTATGGTGTTTACCCACCCACATAATAAGAGTGATATTTTCAGCTTGGTATCCTTTTTGGGCCTCGGGTTTGGTATTCTTTTTGGGCCTCGGGTCTTAAATCTACTCCATACAGTAATCGTCTTAATTAGACTCATGACCCCACAAATAAACCTCCAGCTCAAAGTATATGAGATTCAAAATTCACAATTCAACGTGCTAGTTACCAGTATATCAGAACTCCTCGATATAGAATGTCAAAATAGTGACAATTTACAGATAAGTGATGAATGTCTAAATAGACTATTCGAGTCTTCAACTGATCTAAAAGAAGTTATACACTGTAATTTCGTTAATTATTACGGCATCAATCAATTTTCTATATTTAATTTATTGCTCTTTTTTCGTGTTGTATTAATTTAGATTGTTGATAAATTTAATGAATTTCTCCTTCTTTTTTATTTCTTTCATTCTTTTCACTATCTCTTTCTTAATGAATGGCATACACGTCCTATTTTTCTATAATCAGAGCTCTCAACACTGAATCCAGTAGGAACATTCACATGATAATTAATTAATTTGTTTTTTTTCTCCATTTGTCGTCTTCTTCTCTTAGCTTCTATTTCTATTTCTATATCTATTTCTCTATGCTTATTCTTTTTCTCTTCAATTACTCAAAAAATTCTCTCAAATATTAAACTCCTAACTACTAATGTGAGGGGAGAGTTTCCATATTAGAATATTCCTGAAATTCTTTATAGGTATACTTGATATTCATCTATTATAATTTTTTTTTTTTGTTTTGCATATTGTTGAGGCTGAAATTCGCGCAATCCGATACGATACCGTTTTCCTGTAAGGAAAAGAGGAGAAGATCGATGAACCTTGACGGCACCGGTGTGGTGCCTGCCAAGAGCTCTCCGACGATCAAGTTAGTCACGGAGGTCTAAAAAGAAGGCAGGGATTCATAATAATTTTTACGTCGTACCTTCTTTAATGGCTTGATGCCATATTTATGGCTGTCGATTGGAATCAAAATCGTTCCGCTGATATCGATGGTTGACCTTATCTTCCGCTTGTGCGAAATCATAGGAGATTTATTACTAGATTTGTCGGGATATGATTTAATCTTTTTGACCTCCTCTAGTCATAGTAAGATTTTTCTTACTTGTTGAACCATGTCAGATTTGATTTCATTATCAAGGATAATGAAATCTAATCAATCTTATCGAGGGTAGGGTAGGTTTATATTTTTCCCTATCAGTCGCCCCCCATTCCCAAGCTTGCACGTCTAGCTTTGGGAATGTAATAAATAATAATAATAATACTTTTTCTTCTTCTTTTTCTTTTTCTCTTTTTTTTTTTTTTTTTTTTTTCAACCCCGGTGAACAGTACCCGCGGGTACTATTCACGTAAATAGTAACTTAGGGAAATTTTTTTTTATTTTTTTGGCACCCGAGGGAACAGTACCCGCGGGTACTGTTCATGAAAAGTAATAATATTTTTTTTTCAACCCCGGTGAACAGTACCCGCGGGTACTATTCCCGCGGGCACTATTCATGTGCATAGTAACTCAAGGTTTTTTTTTGGGCACCCAAGGGAACAGTACCCTCGGGTACTGTTCATGAATAGTAATAATAAATTTTTTTTTTTCAACCCCGGTGAACACTACCCGCGGGTACTATTCCCGCGGGCACTATTCATGTGAATAGTAACTCAAGGTTTTTTTTTTTTTTTTTCACCCGAGGGAACAATACTCTTCCTTTTATAAGGGAATAAATTATACGAGTTTCACTCCTTAATAAGGGAATTGAACTTTACGAGTTTTACTCAGCTCGTCCCTTCAGTAAGGGAATTGAATTTTACGAGTTTTACTCAGCTCACCTCTTTAATAAAGGATTTTTATTTACTATCCCTTATTATAAGGGGATATTAATTATGGGATTCATCCAACCCAGGTCCTCGTAGTACAAAACATTTATTTATTATCCTTATATTACAGGGATATGGATTACGGGATTCATTCAACCCGGGTCCTGATAATATGGATGACGGGATTCATTCAACCTGGGTCCTTATAATACAGGACACTCATTTACTATTCCCTTATAGTACGGGGATACGAATTACGGGATTCATTCAGCCCGGGTCCTTGTAATACAGGACACTCATTTACTATCCCATTTTAGTACGGGGATACGGATTACGGGATTTATTTAGCCCGGGTCCTTGTAATACAGGACACTCATTTACTATCCCCTTATAGTACGGGGATACGGATTACGGGATTCATTCAGCCCGGGTCCTTATAATACAGGACACTCATTTATTATCCCTTATAGTACGGGGATATTGCACGTATAAACTAAAAGGAATTTTATTAAAGACCATCATTATTAAAAACAAAATAACACGTGATGGAGCTACCCTCCATTTAAAATGATTAACTAAGATGCCCCCAGTCTTTATTGTGAATGACTTGATAAGGCTAATTTCAGCCGCGAGACAATTTCTAGTCGGTATACTCATCTGAGTCATTCTCATGATATGTGCTGTCACTCTGGCTGAAGAACGATTTCTTATATTTGGTATTATTTTCATCCCTGGCGAGAGGGGCTGGCCTCTTCTTGTCCTCTCCTTCCTTCCGTGCACTCATGGTGTCTTCAGCATTGATGTGTTTTTGCGCTCTGACTAGTAACTCTATCATGCTGGTGGGAGGTTCTTTTGATAAGGAGAACAAGAATCTGGAGGTTTGGAGTCCTCCTATGAAAGCGGTCAAAGCTACCTTGTCGTCCGCCTCTTCTATCTGCAACATCTCTGCATTGAATCGGGTGATGTATTCCCGAATCGACTCTTCCTTTTGTTGCTCTACGGTAAACAGGTAGGTAGCCGGCCTTCTATGCCTCTGACCTGCAATAAAGTGGCTTACAAACTGCTTACTCAATTCTTCGAAAGTGTTGATGGTTCCTGGCTTCAACTTGTTGAACGAAACTCTCGCTGATCCCTTAAGTGTAGTGGGAAAAGCTCGGCACATGATTTCATCTGGCACAACGTGTAAATGCATAAGAGCTTGAAAAGTTTCCAAGTAATCGAGGGGATCTTTGCTCCCATCAAAGCTTTCCAACAAGGGCATCCTGAACTTACTAGGTAGTGGACATTTTATAACGGCGGGACTGAAAGGCAAGTTGGTCCTTTGTACCAGGTCATCTACGGCGGCAAGACCTTTCCCTTTCATAGCCTGCATTACATCTTCCATTTTCTCCTTGAGATCCTTGATCTGCAAGTCGAGATGGGTAACTTTCTTTGTCTTTTCCTTAAGACAAAAGGCTATGCTTTTCAGGAGGTCGGGAACTCCATAGGAGAGATAGGTGAACCACCTCTCTATGTCGGGTTCCCACCTGGCCTTGTTCCACTTCAGCCTCATTTTGGGGGGAATGATTATCCCTCTCTTCAAAATTTTCATTACCTCCGTTTGGACTTGAGAGATCTTGTCCTGGAAAGTTTTGTTGAGCCGGTGGAACAAGGTGTTGCAAGAGCGTTGCAATTTGCTGGAGCAACTGGTTCATACCCTGACTCAGAGTTTGAACCTGTAGTTCCAACGCTGCAAGCCGTGCCTGGTCGTTTGGGACATCCAGGTTTTCACCCGACTCTACCCTTTGACCAGATCCCTACAACGGTGTTCCTTCGGTAACCATACCGAACTGCAAACGTATATACCCAACGAGTAATTAATTGATTCAAGGGAATCGTGATTCCCACAGACGGCGCCAACTGTTGAGGCTGAAATTCGCGCAATCCGATACGATACCGTTTTCCTGTAAGGAAGAGAGGAGAAGATCAATGAACCTTGACGGCACCAGTGTGGTGCCTGCCAAGAGCTCTCCGACGATCAAGTTAGTCACGGAGGTCTAAAAAGAAGGCAGGGATTCATAATAGTTTTTACGTCGTACCTTCTTTAATGGCTTGATGCCCTATTTATGGCTGTCGATTGGAATCAAAATCGTTCCGCTGATATCGATGGTTGACCTTATCTTCCGCTTGTGCAAAATCATAGGAGATTTATTACTAGATTTGTCGGGATATGATTTAATCCTTTTGACCTTCTCTAGTCATAGTAAGATTATTCTTACTTGTTGAACCACGTCAGATTTGATTTCATTATCCTTGATAATGAAATCTAATTAATCTTATCGAGAGTAGGGTAAGTTTATATTTTTCCCTATCACATATTATTATGTGGATCTAAATGCCTTGCCACC